AAATGAACTTAAATGATTTTCCAAGCCTACTCACTGCCATAAAGAAAATTAACTCTGTTGTGCAATTTTTCTGTATTATTGACAAGTGAGTAGAAATGACTCACACACTGAGTCAATGGAAGAAAAAATCTCTAAATATTGTTCTATATCAAAATTCAAGTGGTAGTAATCGTCAATTGCTCGAATGAAGTGGCTAAAGTCTGGTCCATTTAGAATCCGAACACTTTACTTATTCTATATCAGCGCCTATAATGATCGGATTTGGAATGTTTTGACAGCGGTTTGTTTCAAAAGTACATGGGTTTGAGTCAGGGTTGCTTCCACTCAATTGTTATAAAAAATTGTTTTTCGGAATTATGCATTCATTACACGATATAATGATATGTGGTACTTGTAAGTAACAAGAAGAGGGTATAAAGTATGTGTTTGACTCATAAAACCTGTCAATTTTGCATTCAGAGCATCACAATCAGCGATCTTATGGTTTGTGAGCGTTCACGAAAATATTGATAGGTTTAATGTGTCAAACACATACTCCACGACAAATTCTTGTAACTTACCAGTACTAATTATCATTATGACATTTAATGTTTTCATAATTCAGTTGTTTATGTTATTCAGCAAGAGTGGTTGTTTGTGTAGAAGCCATCAAATGAGTAATACATTCACTTTGTTAGCTTTGTTTTGCAGCTACAAGTTGAAAGTTGATTAGTGTGTGTATAGAAATGACATTAGCGTTTATTGGCTGATGTTATTCAGTGCGACTGACAAATTGAATAATGGTTGTGAGAAAGTTGAGTAAACGCTCTCCAAAACTATTTTGCTAGCTTTTGCTTGTAGCTGTATCTGCAGCTTCTTTTCAGCTACTTTACAGCACAATGCTGGAATAGTTGGCTTACAAAGCTGAAAATGTTAGTTGGGATGCCCCTTATATGTAAAGTATATGTAAAGTATATGTAAAGGAATGGTTTCGTGTAAACAAAGTGTCGGTTATTTCATGGTTCAGCCAATTTCATGACATCAACCCCATCGAAAATTTATGGAACGAGCTTAAAAGAATGTTATCTGGTCAAGCATTTTTAAATAAGGATCAACTGTGGACCACAGTTCAAAAAGAGGGGTATGCTATGCCATAGGAAACTTGTCAATGCTTGGTTGAGTCAATGCCAAGAAGATTGAATAAGGTTCTAATTAACAATGGAGGGCACAGCGGTTACTTAGCGTCATTAGTCTAATAAAACTTATGCGATTATTTCAAGCTATAGTTTTATGCACCACACCTATTTGAGCGATCAGGCATATTTTATATTTGATTGTAATTAGTGAGTCATTTAATGTTTTAACTTTGAACAATTTTTTATAGCAAGTGAGTGGAAGTAACCCTGGTTTAAGTGGTGAAAGTTTCGGCTCAATACATGCAGTATTAAAACTGTATATTAGACGAGAAGACGAGAAAAGAAAATGGATACAGGATGCACACCCTCGTCGAAAACCCGGCGTGCCCAACTAACATTTTTCGAAATGTAAACACTTGACGCATTTCATTTATACAGCTTCAAGCTGTATTCACATGTTATACGATATGGAAAAACCTTTACTCAACCTCTATACAAGCAAATCTGGCGAACTTAGTCAGCTACTTATGACTGTTGTGACGGTTGGGACAAGCTCTTATTGCATATCTAGTTACGCTTCTATACAGCTGTTATCCTGATGCTTAAGTTGTGTGTGAACTTGAAAGGCGCTTACTCAACCCTTACCCGATTATCCAATAATCTCTACACAGCTCTCTCTTGACGCCAGGTTAAATATTGTTTACGCTTTTTTTGTTGGAGAAATATATCATGTTTATTTTACTGCGAATCAAGTTAATCGAAATTAGTTATAAGCAACACCACCAAATTATTTATAATGTACCGGAACCTGGAATCGAACTTGAGACGACCGCATTGGCGAACCTTGATGCTACCAACTTTGCTACGCCAACACTTTGAACTGACGTAAACAAATTTACATGCCCTTCTACAACAAGATCGCTGAGTAGAGGTTTCATAAAAGTGCACATGAATCACTTTTCTCGACTAGTTAATTCAGCTTTGTAAAGAAGCAGAGTAAAAATGTAAAACTGCACACGTCTAAAAATAAACCTAGTTGACTGTAAAATAGCTTCTTAAGTAGCGCGAACACAGTTTATTAGTTGAGTACATTTTGTTTAGTTGTTGAAAAAGCACTTCCCAACTAACATTTTCAGCTTTATAAGCCAAATTTTCCAGCGTTGTGCTGCTGAAATAAAGCTGCAGATATGGCTACGAGCAGAAGCTAGCAAAATAGTTTTGGAGAACGTTTACTCAACTTTTTCACAACCATTATTTAATTTGTCATTTACACTGAATAACATCACCCAACAAACGCTAATGTCACTTCTATGCAAATATTAATCAACTTTAAACTTTTAGCTTCAAACCAAGCTAATAAAGCGAATATATTACTTATTTGATGGCTTATACACAAGCCAGTGAAGTTCTGGCCAGATTTGGCAAACTGCCACTACAGCAGTGCTACAATGGTACCACGACAATAAGGTGAATTTCATCGACAAGGATATCAATCCACCCAACTGCCCACAATTCCATCCAATCGAAAAGTATTGGGAAACTATAATTAAGCGGAAGTTGAAGCAAATTGGAAAGACAGGACACTGTACAGTGCACAGTGGTCCAGAATACAGATTTATGTAGAATTATATATTTTGAGGCTGAAATTGAAACTTTAGACTAAAAGTTTCTTCTACAAAGTTGTTGCTTATATGTAGGCCCTCATTTTTATGTCAATGAATTCTAGGGTGGTTCTTATTATAATTTAAATCAAAAATCTAATTATTTTGTTTGAAGAAATTAAGGTGTATACAACAGTTAAACATAACTATTTTGTATCTCTTAAATTGACCGATTTAGAGCTATTTTATTGAATTGAGTTAGGATGTCTCTAAAAAAAAAACAATTGTTTTGCTCTAGTTTTCATATTTCAAATTTCTCAGTAAAGGTGTCCGCAAATAACTTTTAGGGCTTTAGAAGGTGCAAATTTTTGCTGCACAATGCTTGTGAATATCTTTCGTCGATCAAGAATTATTTACGTTTTTCTACTAAAAATATGCCCTTTTCAAATATCAATATCACGAACTTTTTTATTTGTGCCTTCAATATCGGGATGTCTTCAGAAGAGTTATAAGAGAGAGAATATAAAATTAGGCGCAATGATTACACACTTAGAAAAAAATCATGTAAATTTAGGTGCTCTGAGTGTGGCATATACGAGCGTCAATTTTGACATAAATTTGAGTCATAACAGACGCGAAATATAGCTCAATCAAACGTTCTTTTCGTCGAGCATAATATTACATGAAATGTTTGTTTACATCTCATCTTTTATGTCAAAGACGGACTCCGTCACGTGTAATATAAGTTATTGCTAAGTGTGTAGTGATACGTTTTAGTTCGGGACTCCACCACAGGCGGCGCTGCAAAATCTTACTTTTTACATTTACAAGATAGGTGTGTAGTGTCTTTAGTAAAGTTGTAGATAACTTTAATACAAAAATCTTTGCTGAACCCACTAATCCTCTATATGTCTTAGTTTTTGAGATACTTAGTGTTTTATATGACTGTTCCACAAAAAAAAAAATCAGTTTTTAGCACATACCTTAAAAACTATAGGTTTTAGAAGACTATAATAATTTACGAATATTTGTATATTATCAAAATACCCAACTTTGTTCAAGATGACCAAATGGTATCGGTTTTACATGCCGAGTTATTGACTAATTTAGTTGAAAAATTCTATTATTATATTATAATTCAATGATTTAAAATATTACGTAAGGCAGGTGGTGATCATTTCAAACGCTATAACTTTTCGGGGTTAACTCGGATTCACATCCGATCTTGAGCCAAGATGTTCCCAATACTCCCCAAAGATTCTACATTTTGTACACGAAGAAAATCGACCAACTACAGCACTACCTAGAGCAGCGAATGTGAAAGTGGCCCCCATACATTTTGTCGATTTTCTCCATACAAATTTTAACCCCTTTGAGTGAGGGGTTCCCGTGAACCAAATAACTTCAAATTTTTGCATTCTGTTTCTGACCCCCGAAATTACTATTCTTATTTTATGTTTGAAACTCCAGGATTAACCTATTTTGAAACACTCCAATGGACACCCTATAACAACTGGTGCTGACAAATAACCATAAGTTTTACCGCTGTAGTTTTTTCAGCAATCTGTAGTTTTTAGCAGTAATCTACAACTTTGTATAAGGTTCATCATGATACAAGTTGTTGTGGTTGTTTCTGTATTAATGAGACTTACAGCTCAAGGTATCATCATGATATAAGCAGAAATGAAAAAAAGATAAAACAATTATTTTTGTCATTTCAAGGACCACACTAATGCAATTTTCAACTAAATAAAATCCTTATTGTAAGTAACAACTTCACAGAAGACACTGCGCTGGACTTGGACCACTGCATTGGTTATCAAAATTACCAAAATTATCAGTTTTTAGATGGTTAAACAACCCTAGTTCCAACCTGGGATTAGATATAAATCATTCTTACACTCAATGCTGTGAGAAGAATTGGTCAACTATGAGTAAAAATCAGCCCTTATTAACCCTATTCTAGACATCGCCAACAAATCGATTTTAGGTAGTTCCATCAAGTCGAGAATCTCAATTGATCGCACCATCTGCATCCGATATAAGATAGTAAACAAATGGCTTTCGGATCACCATCGAATGACGAATGGAATGTTTCGATTTCTTGCACTTTTAGTTTTATTCTTCATAGGATCATTTCTTACAGTCTAGCCGTGAACGTGTTTGCTAAATTTGCGCTTGTTTTATGTTTTTTTTTTTACAAAAAATATTCCAACCATTTTCCAAGCCACACGTTTAAAATTAAACTATTAGCACTATGTTTCCTTATGTACACTGTTCTCTTTCTCGCTCGTGCGTTTTCCATTGAATCACTTCTTTTTTCTTACTTTAAACTGCTCAAAACGGGAAGATTTTGGCCTTAACATATGTACAACTAGTCAGCGTGTTAACTTCAATCCTACTTCATTAGCGTATTTAAAAAGTGCCGGTTTTCCATTTCTCTACATCTATTCGAGCGATTGCCTTTTATTCCAGCATATTGAGTAGTATTTACACAGGTTCGTTAGAAATAATTTATCCTTAAAATGCAATTGTTATCTAATTAGTACTTTCATCTGCTACCATCATCGGGGGAGATCATTTTGCGCTTGTGCTCATTTAGGTTTAGGTAATTTGAACTTAGCTAGGAGCAGAGTAACACTAGGACTACTACTGACGAAAGATAGGAAACATTGTCACCATGGTAAACCACCCCATCATCATCATCATCATCATCATCATCATCATCAACATCATCCGCGGCGGCTGGGTATTACACCATCGTGGTCATGCCCTTGTTGATGTTCTCCAGGTGTTCCTTGGCCTTGATGCGCAGGGTGGCAATCGAGTTGGTCCTCATATCGGTGGAGTGATTCACAGTCATGTTGAGGGCAGTCCCGGCCGACGCACCACCACCACCACCGGCACCATCCTGAGACCCCAATGCTCCCAGGAGGCGCTGTTGCTGCTGCTCGATGGCACTGCTGCCATCCAGTGGACTACTACTGTCTTGTGCCGGCTGATGGTCTAGATTGGCCAGTTTGGCCATTTTCAGTCCCGTCGACGAAGTGGGCGACGAGGCGTCCGAAGAGTTGGGACTTAGCGGATGGCCAGTGAGTGGGTTGGTGTTGTTGTTCGAGGTGCTACTGCTACTTAAACTTTGCGGCGATCTTAAACCAGGTGGCGTTAGTGAAAGGTTTTGGGGTGATGTTATGGGTATATTTACAGAGCCGAGCTGAGGTGGCTGGGATGGGTGGGGTTGTGCGGCTCCTAGGCCCAGGGTTGGACCACCGAGTGGCGAGTGGCGTGGCGTTAGCGGCTGCTGAGTTGCCATCGAGAGGTTCTGCGGGGTGATGGCTCCGTTGGGATGGGGCGGGGAAAGGCGCATATTGTGACCGCTCATCTGCTGTTGCATCGCGGCCATTCCCTGCGGAGATATTCTGAGGTTTTGCGGTCCATTTGGATGGCCCAGGCCAAGGTTGGTCATGCCCAGGTTGGACGGATTCAGGCTAAGCGGTGGTGTTAGGTAACTCGGGTAGACACCCTGCGGGTGCGAGAGGAAGCCTAAAAAGAGGGAAACGGTTGAGTTTAGAAATGCTGTCTCTAACAAAGCTGATTGATTGATCGAAACTTACCGGGAAGAGCTGATAGGAGCGGCGGCGACAGCCATGGATCCACTGGGAGGTTCGCTCCGTTGCAGGACAGGCGATGCGGCAGTTGGGAGAAGTGCGACAGTCCTAACCTCAAACTCTCAGACTTTTCCTGCCGGCGCCATTTTGCCCGTCGGTTCTGGAACCAAACCTGTCGATAAGGAAGAAAAAGGAACAGTGAAGGAAAAATTAATGAAATTATTTTCCATTTATGAACGTTTAATTACATTTTAAAAGCGTCATCAGAGCGACCGAGCGTGAACGTTTCGCGCGCACTGTTGTGGTGAAGGTAATCGTGTCGAAGAGGGACGGGGCTTGTTGGTGCATGACAAGTGACGTACGACGACGACGACGGAAGTGGGTGGAAAATTTGTCCTCGGTTCGGAGGACGCAAAAACATTCAATTTTCAGCTCATAATTTTTAATTTAAAAATGAAGAACCCTACCCTACCAGCAAAGTGAGTGCGAGCATTGGTGGAGTGTGAGGGAACTGTTTGTAAAAGAAGGATCGCTGAAATAATTAACGAAAGAGAAAAGATTAAAATGCAATTAGCCTCGTATTTTTCTCGCTTTCCATCTTCGCAGCTCTGGCACAGGAATCGTAGAGTGAGAGGGATTCGTACGGTAAGAAATTCTGCCTGTGAATCGTCCCTTTCTTTTCCCGGTTTGCTCATTTGCTCTCATTAGTGCTTCGGGTGGTGACCGCCGCCGACGACGACGCCGGTGACATCGACGCAAGCTTATTGCGGAGATTCATGAGCAGACAGAGCGACAACGGGCGCGGTTGCCGCCTACTTTTATGTAAATTAAAACTTAATTAATTTCTGAATTAAATAATTAATTTAACCATTAAGTTTGCTTTTCTTGCTTGGTTTTTACGACGAATTTTCTGTTTCTTTTTCTTTGTACGAGGTGGAAGGAGCAAGGGGGGGATAAACATGGCTGAGGATAATGACGTAAGAAGCAGAGGGTGGTACGGCATACATCCGTTCGTTCGAGTGAAAGAGAAAAGTTTTCATTTTTTCTGCTCGCTTCTCGGTGGGTGGTTGCTTGCAAACGGAGGCAATGGATTTTCAATTAGTACGCTGGATAATTGAATTTTCTTATCCTGGTGTGAGATGGTGTAAGGAGCTTTTTTATTTTTAATTCAGCGAATTAGTGTCGTTCCGTTTTGTTCGCATAGTAGTATAATAATAGTAAACAATAAGGTTCGTTGTGTTTAAATTGTGCCGAAGTGGAAGGTTGCAGTTTATAGAATAGAAATAATTTATCCCTCGAAGCTATGGGAAATTCAAAACCTTAGTTAAAGCATTGTTAGTGAGAAGAAAGGGACAACTATTATTGACACAATGCACCATTGACAGGCAACTTTTATCGTAATTTTGCATTCATTCCTAAGATTTGCTCAAGAAGTATTCTTCCTTAAATTGAATTAATGTTGGATCTTTAAGCTTTACGCTAGTGGGGCGAGCTGTGGAGAAAGTCGAAAGCTTCCCATATCATGGCACCCTAGAAAAGCAAAAGCAAACAGCCGTCCAGGATGAAGGTCATTCTCGTAGGCCCTTTGCACCATTGATGGTACACATGATTTATGAGTCAGTGAGTGAGCTTAGGAAGTCGTCAAGCAACTATCATGGAAGTTTGATCAACGGGAACTCCGAATCTAGTCCCAGATTTCTCCAAAACACATCCAGAGGTTTGGCGACAGGAACGCAGAACTTCTAAAGTAAGCCGAGACAGTATCAGAAATAAAGATAAGTAAAAAAAAAAAACTGGATCAAGTCAAATTCTCCGGATGTTATGTGTCACTATAAAAGGCAAGAGTTTAAAAACCATAAATAATGAACCAAGAATTGTAGAAAATATCTTAGCCATCCGCAAAAATATAAACTGAAAAATAATTTCCCTGAAATATTTCACGATGGTAATCTTTCTCTTCAAGATGCTGCTGTTGATTTGCCTGGATGAGTCTCCATTAGGGTGTTAAAACAAAATTGAGAAAACCAAACTTCCTCATTCCTCAAAGATAAAGCTACTAGAAACAATGCATGGAAAGTCTCTTAAACTATACGGTTCAATTTTCTGAACAAAGTCATTTTTTCAGAAAACTTTTCAAAAATTTGGTATAGGGTCAAACAAGTCATGGATAAGGTAACTCTAAATCATAGGATTTTAGTTTGATATCCCAACAACAAAGTTCGGTATTGATTTGGGTAAAATAGCTTGATTTCTTTTGTTAAGGAATATTTATATGACCAAGTAAACGTAAATGTTCATCTAAAAAAGATGTAAATGCTCAAGAATTAAGGATTCAAACAATGTTGTCGATCTTGCGAATAGACTAGTTGGTAGCGATTACTTTTGCTGAAAAAATATTTGGCTAACTGTGAACTTGACCAAGATAGTGTAAATATAATCTGAGGAATTTTAATGTTGATTGCAATTTTAAGCGATTCTATGAAAAATGACGAAGCAATTAAGCTCTCTACCCAGTGCTGGAAAAAAAACTACAAGGGACAGCCCATGGGATTGTACGCAATGGCGACGTAGGACTACGTGGACTTATATAATAAATCTTATTTTTTAACTGCAGCAGGAGCTTGTGTTTTGTGTAGGAATAGGAATTTGAGCGGGTTTCTCTCTGTTTATACTTTTTAGTATGACGCGCTTGGCATAGATGGCCAACAGTGACTCACAAAGAGCTACTGATTCCGATCAATAGCGGTGTGGCTCCTCCCTCCTTCTATGGATGCTCATATTGGCTGCAGCTCGCTGCTTGCAGGCAGCCTTTCGTTGTATACTGGAGAACAATGTTCAACGCCACGTGCCGAAAGCACTGCTGCTGCTGCTCATGCCGACGACCGGACATCACCACACACGATAATTGGAACTGAATCCGATCAGCGGTTGAGGTCAGCCTTGATCGCTAGAAGCTTGCGGGGAGCCTTTCGTTGTGTACCGGAGAACACCATCACTCACCACGCGGTGAGTGAATAAACACCGTTTGGTTAGACCGGATGGAATTCAACTTTGAAATCTGTTGTAGGGAAATCGCTTTTCGCAGGCAATCGACGATAATTTTAATTATCATAGCAACAGTTGCACATCCGTAAATTTTTCAAAAGTGACATTTAAAAAAATGATAAAGTCTTAAATTAAGCAGATGCGTAGGAATATTTCTGATCGATTGGTGATAAAATTATTGAAATTGGTCCAGGGGCAGCTGAGTTATTAACGTTCAAAATCTTTCATAATTTTGTTATATGTTCCATTTTCGGTTTTCACAAAGTGTGCCCCCCATGTAGAAATCAAAGACGTAGTCCTACGTCAAAATAAAATCTCACGCAGGCATGATCATTACCAAATTGATATTTTGCCACCCTCATACGGTTTCAATATAACGCGTGATATTGGAGAAAAATAAATATATTGCTTGTTATTGATTTTACAAGCTCCTCTGGTATTGCGAGACTATTCACAACGTGTAAAGGTTTATTCAGATCTAAGTGATATTTCACGCGCGGAGCGAGATTTTGCGAAGGTACGAGAGGGAGAAAAGTACTAGTTGTCTCTCTCATTTCAACACAAATTTGCTTCGCTCCGCTAATGTACGCTCAGATATGAATACACCTTAAAGTTGAAGCCTCGATTGAAGCTGAGAGTTGAATCGACGCATAAATGATTCCATTGCACCTCGTTTTCTTAGAAAGAGAAGGTATGATAATACTCTATCTCTTTTTTTCTACACCGATGGCACACACGAAGCGACTGCTCCTTGCCGTTATGGAATTTTCGGTTGCGTTCGGCTGTAAAGCAAAAATCATGAAACTCAATCCCACCACAGTTTGGTGAGTTTTACAGCTGGTGAGTTTTGTCAGCTTGATATTCTGAGCTACGACATCACAGCTTGCAATATCAACCGCAGTTGTCTGCTTGTTGATTTTTCTCTACGAAAATCAAGCGTGATCTTGGGCTTTGATATTTTTCCAACACTGATCTCACCAAAGAACAAGATAACGCTTGATTTTCGTAGAGAAAAATTAACAAGCAAACAGCTGCGGTTGATATTGCAAGCTGTGATGTCGCAGCTCGGAATTAGAGCTGGGACTTCAATTATCCGGAAACTTCAGTTTTTTTTTTCAATTAAATGACTTTCAAATAATTGGAATATCAATTAATTGATATTCAGTATACAGAATACCATGCTTTCTAGTGCCCAATATTAAAATAAAATAAATTTAGAAAACATTGAAATGGTTATCAGGCGGTTAGAAACTATCCGGATATCCTGATAGTGAAATGGATGAAAGTTTTGTTATTTGCCAAAATTTAATAAAATTGAAAAATCAAATTATCTGGATAATCCAAGTCCCACTACTCGAAATATCAAGCAAACACAACTCGCCAGCTGCAAATCTCACCGAGCTGTGGTGAGATTGTGTTTCATGATTTTGGCTTTACACCCGAACGCAACCGAAACTTCCAAAACGGCTGGCAGAAGCCGCTTCGTGTCTTCCATCGGTGCAGAGAAAAAAGGGATAACAATATTATATCTTCTCTTTCTAAGATATCGAGAAGAAAACTCTCAGCTTCAACTTTATACGTTGTGAATAGTCTCGCAATATTACGCGTGATGTTGAGAGTGTATGAGAGCGGGAAAATATCGATTTGCTAATGATTATGCACTAACTGCTCTACCCTCTACTATTTCAGTGGAAATGTTCACGGCGAATGAGAACGACTCAAATTTGAGTTTAGTTCACTCATAATCGCCAAAAGTGCAGGAACTCAGCGATGAGTTAATTTGCCTCATGTTTTCCCAGGTTTTTCCAGGATTTTCTAGGGAAAAATTCCCGAATTTGAGAAAAGTATAGATTGAATTCACTCAGTCTATTGGTACTACTCCGAGACTGAATAAAATTTTCGTCAATTTCCTCATTTTCCGGCAGATTTTTTAGGTTTTCCACAGGAAACCATGGGACAAATTTTACTCATCGCTGAGTTCCTGCACTTTTGGCGATTATGAGTGAACTAAACTCAAATTTGAGTCGTTCTCCACGATTTAGACTTGTAGAATGCTATTTAACCTACATAATGCTTGCAATGTTACTGGTGATTAGCATACCTTTTAAGATCGACTATTCTTTGAAT